TAGTGCGAGTGAGCGCCTTCAATTAATATCGCGTCCGGTTATCCATGTTAGCCTGCCGCTGCTCTGCTGCCTTGAAGGCGGTCTGCTGCTGCTGTGCTGCTCTTTTCTCAAGAGGCTCGAGCTGGAGAGGCAAAGTAGAGGGCGCCATGCACACTCCTTGGATGGGCGGGGTATCTGTCCCCTGCATCTGGATACGAGTGCAGTCACACTCACATGCAGCAGCAGATAGTATCTAGTAGCCTGGACCCACTGAAGACTCCGAGCCGTGTTACTAGGTTCGACGCACACGCAGGTAGCATGCCGCAACCACCCATGAACAACGGAATGTACCCGCCAATAATGACAATCACGCGTTTCCAATCTTGATGTCTTTAAACTTGATGACGTAAGGGATGTCCTTGCCGCTCCACGTGCCGCTCCACCAGCCATTTGAGATGCTCGATGCGTTCCACATGGAGGCGTATGCGAACATGGGCTTCACAGGCCACGCGTCCGCCTGCGCGCGCTGCACGTCACGCACCATCTTGTTGTCAATGAACCACCTGATGGGACGAGGCACAAGGACAACCAAACAGGAAACAGAGAGACGGTGTGAGACGGTGGATGGAGAGAAACGGGAAAACGGGAACCCACCCACAGAGCACGGGAGGAGGAGCGGGGGCGGCGTGCGTGAAACCCGCAGCGCACAGAGCAAAAATGCTGGAGCAAAGAGCACGCGCTAGTGGCGGCAATACTCACTGCAGGCGGTTGGTGGTCCAGAGGAGCGTGTAGTTGTGGAACCCCTTGGAGCAGTCGAAGCCGAGCGGCACGAGCACCTCGCGGCCGCCCTTGCCGTTGACGTAGAAGTTGGTCTGCACGGCCGTTTTGTCCTTGCCCAGCCACTCGAAGTCGATCTCGTCCTGCTCCTTGTTGCCCTCCTCCGATGATAGCTGCACGGGTACGGGGTATGAGACGAGGCAGGTGGGTGGGAAACTCGGTGGGATGCACAGGCTTTGGTGTTACTGTGTGGATGACTGCGTTTCAAGGGCTGGAAGCAGGGAAACGAAAATGATGGAGACGAGCACAGCCCTTTCAGGAAATCCACTCACGTAGAATGCAGACACGAGGCCGGACGTGTTCCCAGCAGGGCACTGCACGAACGCCGTGAACACCCCCGAGTAGTGCCGCACCGTCGAGTGGAACCGCCCTCCGCACCCCTTGTCGTCGAACGTGATACTCTGATACCCCTTTAGAGTCACCACGTGGTCCGAGCAATAGTCAATCGCGATTGGCCACAGCGGCCCGCGGCCGATTGCCGACCTGGGAACCGAGGCGCCATTGGTTAGGTCCAGCGGAAGGCCAAAGTTGTATGACGGCGCGGGGACAACCGCGGAGGTGTCTTTATAAGAGACGACGTAGGGCGCGTCGGCGTTGGTGAGGTAGCCGGCCTGCCAGGCGTACGAGTATTTGGCGGTGTCGTATATGGACGCGTAGAGGTACATGGTGGTGGACACGGGGAAGGGCGATAGCATGTTGCGCGACGATACGCGCAGGATCAAATCGTCGTACTTCCAGCTGCAGAGAGGAACGAGGAGCGGGAGAAATGGCAGAAATGGGAAAAAAAAATATTTAAAAAATCGCTATAAGTGAATGTGACACGCTAGCAAGATCGAATGAAGTACAACGCGGGCAAAGCACACGAAGCACTCCGCTTCCCACCCGCCATCGCAATTCCGTTTCTTTCCGCCCTCCGTCTCCGTCCTCTGTCCCCGACCGCGCGCCCATAGCCCCCCGACGCGTATGTGCGACTTACACAATGAGGCGGCCCGACCACATGATGCTAATGGTGTGGTAACCAGCGGCGCAGTCGTTCCCCACCTCCACCTCGTGCGTCAGCCCCGACTCGCCGTCCACCAGCGTCAGGCACCGCACGCGCGTGCGGTCGTTCCCGAATATGCTCATCAGTATCGAGTCCGTTCCAGGGCCGCCTTCTATCGAGGATAACTGTATCGGGCGGAAGAGGCCAGGAAAGCACACGGGAAGGGAATCACGAAAGAGATTGGGTGGTGACAAAAGCACGAGAGGAGAATTGACCAATGCGTGGGAATGGGGTCCAGTACGCTACAAGATGTATGTAAGCAGCCCATGTGCGCGGTGCGAGGCCAGACCAATGGGGCTGTGTTCCCATCGTGACTTACGTAGAATGTAGTGTCGAGGCCGCGCGTGTCGCCCTTGGCGCACATGAGCTTCGCCGTGAATACGCCCGACGGGTACGTGAACGCCGAGTGAATTCGCGCCCCCAGCGTGCCGTTGAACGTGAGCGTCGTCACGCTCCCGGGCAGCTGCCGCATCAGGTCCGCGCCATAGTCAGGGAACAGATCCACCGTTCGATCGGTCATTGATCCGACGGCCGTCACGGTTAGCTTCCCGCTCTGCGTATCAGCCGCAATCTGCTTCTGCAGCACCGTGCCCACGCCACTGAGTCGAATCATCGTGTTTTCCAGCTCGCGAAAGCCGACCGTGTAGGCCTCGCGATCGCTCGTGCTAGTTGACTTCCTGTTGCGCATAGTCACGCCGAGTCTGCTCTGGCAGACCGCCACGGCCCGTGCCACCTGCGCAACCTCTTTCCGCGCCATAAATATGGCTCGGCGGGAAAGCTGGTTAGATACTAACTTGCTGCGCCGGATTGCTTCCGTCAGTGGCGCCCGACAGAAGGGAACGACGGTCGGCACCTTCTGTAGCGCGAGCTGTAGCGATGCTGTGGATACGCGTATCAGCGTCTGTAGCTGGCTGACGCTGCGCGACGAGTAGGACGATACGACTAGTGCGTCGATCGTCTGAGAGCGTGAGACTGATCGCTTCCCCGGCGTACCCGCTGCTTCTGCTTGTGCTGTGTGAAACCAGCCCGAGTCGGCGGTCGATTTGTTTTTGCTTTGCGTGTTGCCGAATCGCGGGTCCACGTAGTGGTGGTCCCCTGGCGTGCATCCTGCTCCAGTGCGCGTATCGCAGCGTTGGATATACCTTTTGCGGCTCGACTGCGACGTGTCCTGAGCGCTACTTGTGCTACTGAGGAGACTAAACGGCCACATGTAGCCGAGTTCACGGCCTCTGTGGGTGACTTCTGATTGCAAGTTACTCGAGCGAGCATTTTCCGATAGTGACGTTCCCGGTATGGGATTGCTGCTGGAAGCACTTGGCGGTAACCGCTGACTCGTGACATAGCGCTGGCTGATCGAGAAAGCTATGAGGATGAACAAGGCGACTGGGAAAATGGACCGCGAAGAGATGCTGCCGCGACGTGGCGGCGACCAGAGAGGTGCGCGCTGACGATCTAATTGACGATGAGCATGGCTGGCGAGTTTACCTGCCATTTCTAAACCTTGTGACTTCTGTCGTTGCACCTGACTACTGCGGGTACCTTAAGTTACTATCGAACGATATTGACAAGAGACAGATTTCAGGGCAGGCAGGACTACAACAAGCTACTGCGTGCTGCGTTCCATAGAACCTTGGTGACCGCTGAAACTGTCGGCCATAGTACCCAAAACGATCTACCTTAACCTTACTACCTGAGAACAATAGGTATTGACTTAGCCGTATCCACGGACGACTGGCAGTACGGAAGGGGCGCGAAACCATTTTATGATCTCTCTACTTCTTAAGTTTGGTGAGACTACGGTTGCTTGGTTGGTTGGTCGGTTGTTGGGGAAGTCTTTCCTTCCAATGTGGCTTGACCATCTCACTTCGCTTCCCTCATCCAACAGATGGGCCAATTTTGGGTGGGCTATCCATCAACACGTAATTCGCCCCTTTGCCAGCTGCGCCAACACATCAATTCGCAATTCCCATGTTCAAAGCACTCCAACATCCGCGCCACGGAAGAACCTGCGGCTTCGTCAAGCCAATGTTGAGGTGGAATTGATGGTCGCGGGTTGAAGAAACACTCTCCGCGTTTCACGCCAGCTATTTGCGATTTGGCATTTGAGAATGCGAACATTCGATTGATTTCGCAACCATCTCGACCAGTCTCTTGGATACCAAACTTCCCTCCGACGAGCTCGGAAATCGCGGATTTTCATTCGCTCACGCTGCACGAAAGGGCTGCCAGACGAATGTTGACAACGCCAAGTGTCTCGTCCATCGCATAAGGGATTGAGCGGGACTTTTCGTGCAGTGTGCGGGGGGAGGAAGACTGACATGGAAAAACTCGACATACGTGGCAGTGAACTGTGAAAGACCATGAAATGCTCGTCACAGATGAAACCTGATCGAATGAATCCTCCACCGCTAACGACGATTGATAAGAACTACCTTTTTTGTAACACCCATTGACAGCTGTAATATACCTCAAGTATGTATACTTTGACTATTGAAAGCATCTCATTCCGCTTCATCAAATTCACCACTCATTAGCATCCGGAACAATGCTATTTGAATAGAATTCAACTAAAAACGAAATATTTTATATGGATGTATCAGCATGTCATTATGCTTTTGTTGAGTTGTATCGTGTTCCTAGCAGGTGAAGATGGCGGCTGCTGAACAGCGTTTCACAGCTTTCTAGGTCAGCCAACAACAGGTACAGGTCATGGGTTCTCTGATTAAACTTGTGATGGAACTTTATATCAACATTTAGTACCCTACCTTATATTACCCACATTTCCCCAAAACTTCCAGGACCCGAATCACAAGCAGAAACTGATTTAGGATGTGCACCTTGCAAGGCACGAGCTCAGGGCGAGGCATAAGCAGCACAAAGTGCAGGTACAAAGTGCAGACTTATCCATTCAAAAAGGACAACTAAAAAGGTTACAAGAACACAAGCAGGTCAACCAGTGATCATCCACACCTACTTTATAGAGAAACTAGAGCTGTAGCACAGGAATCAGCAAGGGGAAAGGCACAGTGCCAGTGGAGCTTAGGCAGCAGGGTCTCGAATGCCATGCTGCACACGGCAGCGGGCAGCACTAGCTCGATCCCCAAATAAGAGGCATCCGCTAGAACCAAGGGCGGCAGGGAGCTCAGTCATCAAAAGTGGTCTTCTTGCCTGCAGCAAAACATGCACAGGAGAGGAAAGGAGAGCGCAACTTTTGCAAGGTGACACAAACCCAAATCCCAGGGCATGGACACTGGAATAGCAAAAGGCGGCAAGAATACCCAGCGTACAACAATGCAACCAGGAAACAGTGTGTGAACAGATGCAGCAGCAAGAAAAAATTACGTACCTGTGCCTGGGGCAGCAAGGTTGATCTTGGCACGTGGCGGGCCACGACCACCCCGACCTACACACACAACAGAGATAGACAGGAAGGCGCACACCGAGGTGAGATCACACCATACTATTCTACATAACCACGTATTTCAGAAGACACAGCATCATGATGGCGGGTGAACAGACAAGAGAAAGCATTCATGCACCAAGCCACATGCCACCCATCCACGCCCTGCCCCAGAACCCTCCCTTTTCCCCAGACTCACCTCCCCGGTCACCACCCCTGCCCCGGAATCCTCCCCTGTCGCCGCCCCGGCCTCTGAAGCCACCGCCTCGGTCGCCCCGACCCCTGAACCCTCCCCTGTCACCGCCGCCCCTGCCACCGCCGCCGCCACCACCACCAGCAGAAGCATCAACCACGAGAGAGCGGCCTCCGCAGTCCGTGCCATTGAGCTCGCCCGCCTTGGCCACCGCCTCTGCCGAATCAAACTGCACAAACGCGAAACTGCAGGGAGGGAGAGGGAAACCGAGAGGGAGGAGAGGGAGAGGGAGGGGGCCGGGACAGGGAAACACACATGAGCAAAGGAGGGATGGTAGGCACACAGCAGAAGCAAACACACCACTCATGAACTGGCCAGGTGAAAAGCTTTAAAAGCGATTTTGTTGCGCACTGACCCCTTGATGCCACCGGTCTCGCGGTCGGTGGGGATGCGCACGCCCACCACATTGCCACAGTCACCGAACACCTCCGACAGCTGTCCGCGGATCTGATGCCATGCATAGCGACGTTGAGGACAGGGGAACAGCACAGGGTAGCAGCAGAGAAACGTGCGCGAGTGAGTCAGGTGTGCTTGTGACATTCTTGCAACTCGTCATAAGTATCAGCGGATATGCGTGTGCAATACGGCGGAGGCTGTGGCAAGACATGCTAAGACGCAAGTGGGATGAAAGTGTGCACCTGCACTGCCTACACCCACTCCCCCTCCCACCGCCTACCCCCGCTCCCGTTCACTGCCAACCCCCTGCTGCCTTGCATCGTTCACCCCCCTTGGCATCTCAAGGATTCCTTCCCCCCTGCAGTCTCACCGTGTCCTCGTCCTGGTAGCGGTCGAAGTTCTTCACAAACACCGTGTTGCTGTCGTCACGTGGCGCGCGCTCAAACCCTCCGCCACCGCCAAAGCCACCCGCGCCACCGCCGCGGCCACCACTGCCCACGCGAAGAGAGAGAGAGAGAGAGAGAGAGAGAGAGAGAGAGAGAGAGAGAGAGAGAGAGAGAGAGAGAGAGAGAGAGAGAGAGAGAGAGAGAGGGTAACAGACGGATGGGGAGAGTGAGGGGGAGCGAGACTATCACACACACAAGGAAAGCAGACCGGCTCCCTCACATTCCTTTCGCGGCCTCGCTCCAACCCAACCACCACACGCACATGTTGCACGCACAGGCGTAACAGCAACCAACCCAACCACTATGCTATGCTGATCAGGATGCCAAAACCCGTCAACACGCTTCTCTTTACATGCGCGTCGTTTCGAGCGTAAGGCTTTTGAGCAAATGCACCCATTGCGTTAGTCCGAGCTCTACCCGTTGGTAACCTCAACGCTTTCCTTACCCAGGACCATCGGGCCCCACAAAACCCCACGCCAAATCTTCCCGTGCCCTATGCACTCACAATCGGCCGCCGCCAGATTGCGGCGTGCGCCCGCCACGGGCCCCGCCTGGGCCGCCTGAGCCGCCCGCGAGGTCGCAGAAGAGCGCGCGTCCCATGAGCTCCTGACCGCTCTTCTCCAGCGCCTGGGGTAGAGGGAAGCGGACCAACAGGCGCGGGTAGGGGGAAGGGGAGACGGAAGGGAGAGCAATTGACGGAAGGAGCGTGAGAAGCAGTGGGAGTGTAAGGGGAAAGAGAATAAAAAACAAAACAGAGGTAAAGCTTCGTAGCGAGCATCGAGCGCAGAGGAAAGCGAGCGACAAGCGAGCGAGTAGCCTCTGACCTTCTTGGCGGCGTCACCAGTTGCGAACTCCACGTGGCAGAACCCGCGCGCGCGGCCCGTCTCCTTGTCCATGGCGATGCGCACGTCCGACACCTCGCCGCAGTCCGCGAAGAACTCCGCGCTGCGGGGGAGGGAGAGCGGTCCGGGCGAGCCCAAGTGTGCGGAGGTAATGAAAGATTAGGCCCGATTCTTCGATGCGGAAAGTTACGGATGGAGATGGAAGAGGAAACTCGCGGTTACGTGTCGGGAGACTAGGCAATGAGCATTAGACAGGAGACGACGGGCAGCGGGAAACGTGCAGCGGGAGACGGGTAGCGGCGGCGCATTACATGGTGTCCTGGTCGGCGGAGAAGGGGAGATTCTTCACGAAGAGCGTCGTGATCTCCTCCTCTCCCGGAGTCGAGGGCGTGGTGGGCGCAGCGGCGGGCGCGGCGGCCTTCACAGGGGTATGCGCGAAAAGGGCGACACCGGCAAATGGATGGAGAAAGCAAGTTAGCGGGGGGGAAGAGGGAGGGGGGAAAGGGAGGGAGGGTCTGGGTGGGAGGGACGGATTGTTCACGGCGAGAAAGGCAAATGCGTTACTGCAATTCAGTAGCGATAGCGCGGTGAGTTAAATTACTCTGCTTGCCGCGCCCATGGTTGAGGACTTAATCAATGTCACCTTTACCCCACCCGAAGAATCGCGAACGAGCTAAACCCCAAACAACCGGATGGAACTCACCTCAGCCTTGACCTTCTTAGCAGGCTTCTCCTCCTCCTCCTCCTCCTCCTCCTCCTCCTCCTCCTCCTCCTCCTCCTCATCATCATCATCCTCGTCGCTCTCCTCGTCATCATCATCCTCATCATCATCATCATCATCGTCATCGTCTTTCTTGGCAGCGGCAGCAGCCGGCGCCTTCTTAGCAGCGGCAGCCTTCTCCTTCTCGTCGTCCTCGTCGTCGCTCTCATCCTCATCCTCGCTATCGTCCTCCTCGTCATCACTCTCTTCAGCCTTGGCGGGAGGCTTCTTCGCAGCAGCCGCGGGCTTCTTCTCGTCCTCGTCAGAGTCCTCCTCGCTGCTATCATCATCATCGTCGTCGCTGTCCTCTTCCATGGGTTTAGCTCCGTTCACAGCGGCGGCAGCGGGCTTCGCTTCCTCCTCGGAAGATTCCTCTTCGGAAGACTCTTCCCCGCTGTTGGTGTCAGAGTCGTTCTTCTTAGCAGCAGCGGCGGCTGCGGGGGCCTGCACAACATAGACGAGAACATTTTAGTTAATCACCTACGCCCAGCCCTTCACCCAAGTTCGGTCTACGAAATAAGTGTAGTTTGGTAAACCCGAATTACAGACCCCCACAATCTATACGCGCAAAATTCGCGCTAAAACCTCGTTGAACCCTCGCGACGATCACCTTGGCTGCGGGAGCCTCCTCCTCTGAAGACGAGTCAGACTCTTCCTCGCTTAGGGTGTCGCTGTCGGCAGGCTGTATAAACCCGAAACATCCCAGCGGAAAAATAATAATAAGGTTTCGGGTTTCAGAAAAACCACGCAGACGCTTACGGAACGTTCAGAACGCCCAGAAGGTATGGTCACCTTGGCAGGGGCAGGCTTAGCAGGAGCCTCCTCCCCTGAGGACTCATTAGACTCTTCCTCGCTTAGGGTGTCGCTGTCGGCAGGCTGTATAAACCCGAAACATCCCAACGGCAAAATAATTATGAGGTTTCGGGTTTCAGAAAAACCACGCGAACGCTCACGGAACGTTCAGATCGGCCATGGTTAACCAAAAAGTATGTTCACCTTGGCAGGGGCGGGCTTAGCAGGAGCCTCCTCCTCGCTCTCGCTCTCGCTCTCGTCCTCGTCTTCGCTGTCGCTGCTCTCCTTAGCCGCCTTCTTCGGCGCCGGCTTCTTCGCTGCCGCCTTGACGGCAGGCTTCGCTGCAGGCTTGGCTGCCGCCTGCAATAAGAACAGAGGGTAAGAATGCGGCTTAAGACTTAACCAATTCCTTTTAAGCGACGGAAGAACTAAGACACGTCGTAAGGGAATCCAGTAAACGAGAGCCAGCTAAATGCAAGAAATCGAGCAGGCACAGGGCGGCGAACAATGTAGGTTGCAGTGAGCTGTACCTTAGGGGCAGGAGACTTCTTCGCCACTGGCGTGGCCTTCTTCTCAACCTTCTTCGCGACGACCTTGGCGGCGGGTGAGGCTACGGCCTTCTTCACCTTCTTCGCGGGCGTCGTAGCCTTGGCTGGCTCCTCGACAGCGGTATCATCGCGAGCTCTCTTCACTGCAGGCCCAAAAATAATGATTTAGCTAAAAAGACGGCGTTGGGGGTTGGTGACTTAAACGCAGACATGTAAAGGGGACAAGGGAGCTTGCGTTCGTACTAACCTTTGCTTTTCTCTGCTGATTTTACAACCTGAATAAGCGATGAAACGGGGACAATAATAAGAAACACGTCAAACGAAAACAAAAACGTTAATGGACAGCGAAGAGCCGGAAGGCCAGTCGGAAAACAATGCAACATCAAATACCTTCTTCGTGTCTGTTTTGGCCATTTTCTGCTGTAGCTGACAGTAGAAGGAAGAAAGGCCGAAATTTGACGAAGGAAACGAGCTGACAGGAAATAATCAACTCGTGAAAAGGGAGCTATTCTGACTCAACAGCTAAAGCATTATACTTTTCGCAATGCAAGTCACCCAGTTGGACTTGCTGCTAGCTGCCGAGTGTCAAAGATGGGGGGCGGTTAGCGAAGGTATCCGTTGGTAACTGGGAAGGAAAATTGTTGCAATTCTGTCGCTGAGAGGACAACGCGAAAGGGTTTGGGAAGGGCGGGTTTTGTTTTGATTGGCCATCTCAATGACGGTGCGAGCGACACACCGCTCTGCTCTGGTGGCGAGCATCCCTGGCCGCCTTGAGCTATGTGGGACTTCTCGGTGGGGCTTTGGGTTTGAGTTTAGGGCCACGTGGACTTAGGAGAAAATATCTGGTGGACCTTTTGTGCTGACGGGGGAGATCCTTCGCGAGGAAACTGGAGGTGAAGGGGCTTCTTCCAGTTCACCCGCTTCCATATGAGGGTGAACTCGAAGTTTCTCCAACATGCATCTCCAAGTTCCACGATAAAATATATAAGGTGGTTGGGCGCTCCCAATATGCAGTGTGTATGGCTCTTTCTAAAAGCCATTTATTGAGCTAATTGAATGCATACACGCATATGGTACCTCTAACAATTGAATAAGTGCATTATTTTTACGGTGTGTACACTAGTTATATTTGAATAATACAGGAAACGCCTGTACAATCAATCAATACATTCTAAAACACATCAGCCATCCATTGTTTGTTCAAGCAATACACCGGTATGCCATTGTGTTAGTGTACTAATGTCAGTCTGTGTCCCGATATAAACAGAACCAGGTACGTTCTGTTCAAAGGCAATGCTGTATCGTACAAGTAGTTGGCGCGCGAATTGTTCGATTGGTGGCTCGGAAACGTGATACACGTGTGGGAGTTGAGAACCGTTGGGTTCTTCAGGCGCCTCGTTACCACCATCCACGTCAGCTGACAGACCATGGTAACAACCAATCGAGCATGCCATGCTGGCAAACTCTTTCAGATCACAGCCAGAGACGAAACTCTGATGTGGGCCGTGGGATCGCACCCGATGCGTGCTCAATTCTCATGATGGGGATGATCGCGGCGCATCGTCCCATATTGTGATGCACCACGGCTTCTGGTTTGTGGGACACATATGTTAGTTGTCTACTTTTAGACTCAAATGTCCTCCCTCCTGTCAAACTGAGTTGTCTCTTGACTTGATCCCAGAAGCCTCAATCCTCCTGTGACCCGCAGGAAATCGTAACTATGGCGATCCAGACTGCTCGTATGGTCCAGCTGAGTGGCATATTTGGGTTGCCTGTGGCCTCTACATCCAAGGTCACCACCAGCACCTCCGATCGTGCGTTTGCCAAAAGGATCGCTGTCACGGCTTCCGCTGATAACGAGGTGGGTGCCAACCAATCTTCAATCTTTCATCAAGAATTGTCTTCGTTTGTCACTTCAATCGTCAATCTCGTCTGTTCGCACATTCAACCGGTTCCAAGTCCGTTTCTTGCCTAACCTCCAGTTCTTGTATGCTTTTATCTTGCAACCATTGCAGGGTATCTCGCGGCGAGCAGTCATCACCAGTGGCTCGGCCTTGCTCGCATCGCTTGTAGCCTCAGCTGCCACGACTGACGCTGCGTTCGCCTCGGACAGAATCAACGCGCGCAAGGCGATTCTTGACAAACTCCGCGCGCTCCGCGAAGAAGCCCTCGCTCCCGAACCTGAGCCAGAGCCTGTCCCAGAGCCCGAACCAGTCTCCGAGTCCTCGATTGAACCTGTTCCGGAGAGCGAGGAGGCTGAAAGCGTTGCTGAGCCTTCCCTGGAAGCGTCTTCGTCGGACGACTCAACAGTCGCCGATCTGGCTGAAGCAGAGTTGGCTGACGTCGCAACAGTCGCAGACATTTCCAAGGTGGATGCCGCTGCCTCCCCTGCCGTGCCGTCGTTGGACGCGGAGGTTGCTATCGCCGCGTGAGCAATGAACGCGAAGCAGCGCTGGTGGCATAGGGATCGCTGCTACCGCTTGTCTGCGTGGATGTGAGTGGATCTACGCCACTCCTTTTTTTGGGAAGGCACTGCGGAACTCGTAACTCCTTGGTCGATCGAGCTGGTGACCGAACGTGGTCTCGCATCTGGCATTTCCTTCGGCTCTCTCTTATCCTATTGCCACCTTGTCCGTGCGGCAAATGGGTGCTGGTTTTCTGAGCGTCCATGACAATAACAGTAGGATAGTATACAGTAGTACTTAGCATTCTGCCACGAGCATGGGTTAGGACAGGAACGTATGTTTAGCGTCCTTATTGGAGTGCAATCCCGCACCTTGGGGTGCACAATGCAGCAGCCACACCTTCGATGTGCTTCATGGTCTCTGCGGGGAAGTGTGGGAGTCTTCCTACCATTCGTTACTTCTGCAATGGATGGAGAACGAGTGGACAGAGCGTTATAGAAGGCTCCCAATCTGACTAAAAGCTGAAACATGCTCTAATGGAAATCACATTTACCGGTGAATAAAGTGGTTTCCCCGAATGAACCGAGACCAACTTCAAATCCAAGGTGATGTTGGGGAGGGGATGATGAGAACGGTCACTGAAAGGCAATATTTTTTTTAAGACTAAATATTTAGTTATCCGAGCTGCTTCCACAACATCTTTAGTACGTACAAACACCTGACAACGTTTTGAGCATCATGACATACATCCCTGAGTCATGTCAAGACTAAATCCCTGAGTCAACCTGCAACAATCTTAAAAGCAAAGACCCATCACACCGGCCAACGCCAGCTGCATGCTGGCAATCCATCATAGGATAATATCTCTTTCAGGGTCTCAGCCTGCTCTCTATGCAAACCCATCCCTATCTCCACTAACCAGCCCCATACCAGCCCAGTTGCTTTACACCCAATGAGACGTGCCAACCAAAGGGTACTGCACCATGGGTTTAAGCATCCAACAGACAGCACAGCATACAGGAGAGCAGGAAAATGCACATGGCAGCAGCCATTCAACCACCCATCAGGTTCTTGACCCATTCCACTTGTATGTACGTCAGGAGCGGGGCCTATCGTACTTGGGAAAGGAGCACATGGAAACAAGTGTGTTCCTGGGACGAGCGGACGCATGGGTTGTGGACCATGTCAACCTAGGGAGGGATCATCTTGGCACCCCAGCAGAAACAACACGGCTACAGCTCTGTGCAGTGTTAACCTAGAGAGATCAGGTGCACCGTGCTCCGTGCTCATGTCTTGGGCTTCCTCCCCCTGCAACAGAAAGCACAGCCCAACACGTACATCGCAGCACAGAACGCACATGAGAGGCCCATGGAAGGCAAGCATGGAGAAAGGGGAAAAGAAAATGGATTGTGGAGTAAGACGAGAGGTGGGCGGGAGTAGCGACGAGTAAGGGAGGTGGGGGGTTGAGAGGAAGGCGGGGAGGTGGGGAGGGGAGTGGCAAGATTGAGAGATAACGCGCCGGCCATGCCGCACGCTTCAGAGCGCCCAGTTGCTATGCGCACATGCACCTCGCATCTCCTCGCCGCCACCATTCGCCTACCCCGGACCCACACCTCCCCGCGCATCCTACACGCAACACACCGCCCACATCCGCTCACCCGAAGATCTTCAATGCCCCAACCCTCACCAACCGGCAATTTCACTTGAAGATTCCCACTCGTCTTCCCCTCGTCTCTTTATGCTAAGCGCACCCACATGGGCAGCCACTAGGATCTTACTCCCTGTGCCTAGCCCCCTCAGTACGTGCTACGTTTCCATCGTCATCGTTATTTCAAAAATTTCCAATGCTCACCTCTTTCCCTTGGTGGGCTTCGGCAGCGTAACGTCGAACCGCCTCTCGAACACGCTATCGCTACACCCGAACAGCACCCGAAGCGGCTCCTTCGCGTCCAGCCCCGCCGCCCGCAGCGCGTCATATCGCCTCTTAATTCTCGTCTGCAGATTGCACGACAGCACCGCAGGCCACGCCGCAACCTCCGCTAGGTCGCGCCCCATCACCTCTGTCACATACTCCAGCTTCCCCGCCGTCCTGTCCCACCGCCGCCGAAGCAGAGACGGGTTCGCCGAGACAAGCACCGAGGCTGCAGGTCCGGCACCGCCGAACCTCCGCGCAATCTGCGTCAGAGTTTCCCGCACTGAGGTGTCAGACAGCGCGAGGATCTGCGGCCGGGCAAGAGCGACTGCCGCAGCGCCTTCCTCGCCGAGTACCGCGGAGAGCTGCTTGTATGTGTCGCGAGCCACGTCAGCACTCGCGGAGAGAAGGGGCGGGGAGCGCTGCACTAGGGGAAGCACGTCTGCGGAGCGATCAAGGCGGAGCAACGAGCGCAGCGCCTCCAGCTTGCGCACCACGTCCGCGCGCCCTCCGCCGTTCCCCGCCCCCAGCAGCGCGGGGTTGCGCTCAAGCGCTGCGCCAACCTCCGCTCCAAGAGAAAGGTCCGTGCGGAGAAAAGTGACTGTATCGGCTAAGCCGTCTATGGGTTGAGAAAGGACGTCGGGACAGACGGCTACGACTCTAGCGAGATTGTTAATCCCCAAGTCCCTGTCGAGAAAAGTCAGAACACTCGCAGCGTGCGCCGCGGGCGTCGTCAGCCAGTCAAGCGATCGCGAAAGCGCTTTGAGAAATGCGGCGGGCGCGATGCGGAACGCGGAGAGCAGCTCCGCCTTATCCCGCACGGCGGAGCCGTACTCCCGCCCCGCGAGCTCCGGCTGCGCGCGGAAGATGCGCAACACCTGCCCCCTGCGCGCGCCCACCGCGAACAAAACCCGCGCGTTGGCCTCGATAGTGTCGAGAGACGCGCCCGGCTCTGCGAGGAAACGGTCTTCCAGCGACGCCAGCACCTGCTGCACGTCGCCCTCGTTCACCTCCCGCAGAATTTCCTCGCCCGCCGCCGCTTCCTCCTCCGCTGCGAGCGTTAGTGTGCTCTCCCTCGCGCTGGAAATTTTGTCCTCGTTAGTAGCGTCGACTCGAACGGCACCGTTGGCGGCCTTGCCCGTGCGCCCTCCGTCTTGTTGTGACTGGGTCCGGGTGGTTAACGATGCCGCCGCCGCCAATTCTTGCGGCTGGTCTGAGAGCGGTCCGGACACAAGAGAGAGATCGTACTCGGGAATGCGTGCAGAAGACGAGGAACGAACAGCACCGTTCAATGGGGTGCGACTAATGGATCGCTCCATTATCCCGCCCTCCGTCCCCGCAACCTCCGCTACCGATCGGTGGCGGTAACTCGACGAGCGCCCCTTCTTCTGCCATCCGCTTTTCTTGACGGGCGTGTGTGATAATAGCGGGTGGAGCTTCGATGTTGATACGAGGCGCGCTCCGGCAAAAGACGCGGAGATTCGGCTAACCCATGATGGTAAGCGGCATGATTTCTTCCCACCACTGCTGGAGTTTCTGGCGACAAGGAAGCCGCTGCTGGCGGCGGCGGTCCCTCGAACAGGCGCACCGACCGGGGCCGTCGAGGAAAACGCCATCCAACCAAGTCAAGTGTCGAGCGCAGATCGCAATGACGGAGCGTTGAAGAGGAAAGGGGAAATGAAAGGGCGCTGAGAATGCTGTTAAGGGACTAGAGGCGATAAATGCGTCCTTCGCACGCAAGTATCGTCCACAAAGAAACACGGAGAGATGCGAACAGGGAGCACCTCTTTGTGTGAAATGTGAGGGGGACGAAGTTTGAGATGGCAAGCTTGGAAGGGTGCGTGGGAGGAGTATGGGAGAGGCTGGGATGGCTTGCCTAGAGAGCGATCTGTATGGGAATGTTGGATTAATGTCAGGTTTGGGGTTTTAGAAAGAGAAGCGCCAAGCAGATATCACAGGTCCAGAGCTCGATTCGTGTCGGGAGCTCTGTGGCGAATCTCAGATCACGGTTCTGAAGTCTGGACACCATCTGAAGTGTGGACACTTTGGTAGCAATGAACACGTCTGATTGGCTGCCATGCTCCAAGATTTTTCGCAACTTGTGTAATGACCAATGATCGGGTCTGTTTACACGTCACTGAGGGAAAATTTTGGTTGATGGTGTCCAAGCTTCGCCCAGAACCGTGACCTCACGTGTGCTGGCTGTTACTCGCGGGAAGGGCTTCACCCATTCGCTGCATGCCCGAATTGAG